TTGTTCAGAGTTTGTAAAATAATGAAAATCCTTTCTCACCATCATAACACCTAATCTAACTCTACAGGCCCTTTTTAAATAACATTTTTACTTTATTTTTCTGTCATACAAGTGTGAAGACGATCACGACTGTTAACGTTGAAAAATAATAAATTGTGTACTCTTCCTCAACTTTCATGACTGTGATGTGTTCATTAAAGCAAATAGGTAAAAACAAAAGAATCTTAAATTTAGCAAGATCCCACCAAAATCTGGGCAAGAGGTGAGGTCCACCCTAAAGTGGTCACCCGTCAATCGCAGGGCACTTCTAGTCAAAACCTTTCAATTCACACCTATGGAAAATTTACAGTCTTCGGTTAAGATAGCATATTTTTGGAATGTGGATGCTCGGTGGAGTACCTGGGAGAAAGCCACGCAAGCACAGGGAGGGTATGCAAACTCTTTACACTAACATCTGAATGTTGTAAACTTGGACACATCAACTTTAAGTATGAATAAGTCTCTCCACTGATTTTTTTTTTTTTTTGTTTTGTTGTTTTTCCAACCAGCAGGCCAGAGCACAGGGAACCATCATCTTCAAAGTGGTTCCTATCACGGACAGGCCCATTCATAACCATACCATGGTGAGTTGTCTTCTCGATGCGAAATCGAGCAAACCAACGCCAATTAAAATTGAACAAAACATTTTTGTTCATGAAATGAAATACAGTAAAAACGAAAGTGCTTCTCAAAAATCCAAGCTAACTGCAATTTGTCTTACGTTGATAACACGAAGTATAATTACAGCGAAAATGTCTTTCGTTTTTGTCTTCGTCAATTACTTTCATATATTACAGTATATGTGAGCTTTAAGGGTTCATTTTAAGTTTGGTGTTGCTGTTCGTTCATAAGGAAGATGGAAGGTCAAATTGTCTTTAGAGAAGTGCAGTTTACTCAACAAACACTCCATATATTCGTAAAACTAAATTACAACAAAACATTGTTAAAAAAAACAAACAAAAAAAACCAACTGAAACGATTAAAAACAAACTGACCAAATTTAGAAAACAAAGGTCAGATGGAAATCAAACCTAACGCTAATGAAAAATCCCAAATAATTATAATCCTGCTCTCTTCACACTTCCATCCTCACTTCCTGGCTCCTTGCCTAACTTTTTGAAATCATCTTGTTTATACATCAGCTTTACGTGCGTGCTATGGTGGACTACAACCCTCAGCAAGATCCCACCATCCCCTGCACAGACGCTGGCGTGAGTTTCAGGAAAGGTGATGTTCTGGAGATTGTAGACCAGACAGACGCTCTGTGGTGGCAGGCCAAGAAACTGCCCAGCAATGTGGCTTGTGCAGGCCTTATTCCCTCCAGCAATCTACTCAAACGGTCAGTTCAAACCTCTGCCTTCTCACACGTAAGACAAAGATGTGGAATCGTCCTTACTAACCTGTTGATGCGCGTGGTGTTGCAGGAAGCAGAGGGACTTGTTGTCATATCAGCCGCACACCTGTATACACATACGTAAGTTCACCCAATATTTTAATATTCGTATCCCTGTGCAGTATAGACCCGAGTTACTAAGATTTACAAGTGCTTCAAACTGAATGCCTGAGACGAATTATACTGTCTGATTTTGTCTCTTTAAATACTGTGTCTGTAAGGCAAGTGCAAACTGGCACCGCTCTAACTGCTGTTATTGGGGCAAGGGCGATGCATATAGGCGATATGAGCGTGTCTTTTACACTCATGTAAATTGCCAGAAACAAAAATAACACCAGTTAACTTTTCCCGATTTTTTTTCCAACACTAATTCCGAATCTGCCCTTCTCTCGTACATCAGATTTTCATAACACCACGACTGTTAATACGAATGATAATAATTAGACTTGGGAATAAGAATAATATAATAACAATAGCATAATATGCAATTTAGGAATATATTTAATAATCTTTTTAAATTTAAAGTTAGCTTCGGCAACAGGGGGGAATTTTTGTTTTTCGAAACCTCAGAGCTATAAATTACAATGCATGGCAAAATGTGTATTGCATTTTGTTCATCCTGATGTGCTAGGGAAAAAAAAAGCAAAGACAATTTTTTAAAATCAGCATCAAAATTACATTTAGGAACACATAAAACCATCTCTGATTAAAATTTGCTGTTATGGTCAGGGTCCTAACTTGTGGCCGTTTCAGCAATGCAACAGTATGCGCATTCAGTTAGAGAGAGGAAACACCCAATTCAGGTCGCGCTATTTGAGAACTTAGCAAATCAGGCCTTACATGACTCCATCCTAAATCTATGTAATTGTGTCTCTTCATCTTCTTGCTTTGCTGAAGTGAGCACGGTGGAGGAAGGTACTGCTCAGTTACCACTTTCAATTTAATGTGACATATTTATCGTTTCATCTATGCTTTCTTTATTTCAACCCCCCACCCCCAGAGGAGGACCTCATGGCCATTGATGAGAAATGTGTTGAAGCAGGTAAATGTTGAAGGGTTGAAAAATGAGCTTTCTCCACCCTGTGGTAGATGTCGAATAACTCCACGTGTGTGTTTCTTCTCTCTTTCTCCCTGCCAGATGAGGAGGCTTTTGAATCTGGTAGGTAAGTTTTTGTTTACCGAATCTGTTCCGATTTGTTCTCATGTATGCAGTGTGTTGCAAACCCTTTCCTTCGAATAATAATCTTTCTACCTCTTGCTTCTTTTCATGTGCTTTCTGATGCGGAATACCAGACGAGCTCAGAGTTGGTGAGAGACTAAACCTTTGGGGACCAAAACTGTCACATAAATTCATATCTAAAGTGATCAGTTGATATTCAGTGTGATTACTTTCATAGGATGCCTGATAAATTTACATGATTGAAGTTGGAGAGTTAAATTCTTTCAAATGACTTTTCACCCTTCCCTCCTTTGACCATTTATACATTTTTATTGAAGATATACATTTAGCTTCTCATCACAGTCTTTAATTGAGACCTGTTACGGACATACAATGTGACCTGGACTATACTTACATTAATTAATGTAAATTTCTGTACTCGTTCTCTATTTCCTTGTGCTTCCCATTTGAATTGTTTTCCTATCGATAAAGAGGAGGATGATTTCAGCAGCAGAATTGCCGGAGTATACCTGGGTGTGTCATCACTCTCTCATCTGCATTTAAACATCATGCATCATTACATTTTGTGTGATATACTTTATAGAACTATTCAAAAGTGTAGGACTGTTTTTTTGTGTGTTTCTCAGCTGGCTTCAGGCACAGTTTGCGTCTATGTCGCAGACGCTTTCACAGCATTGCCCAAATCTCCTGCCCAGCCAAGTGTTCCAACAACTGCAACATTGCCCTCAATTGTTATGAGGAGGTGGTGCGCTACCAACGCAGTTCCAGTGATTTGTATCGCCTCATTGCCCTACTAGGTACATGACTTTTCACTTTGTTAAAAAAAAAAATGTTTTGGGGTGAAATGTTGGAAAATCTAACAGTCTTCTGTCATAGGCCCATCGGGTGTGGGTGTGAATGAACTTCGCAGACGCTTGATTGAAATGGATCCCGACACATTCCAAGGAGCAGTACCTTGTATGTGACCACCACTCACGGTTTTAATAATAACACATACGGTTAAAGTCCTGAAAAAAAAATCAAATTTGTTTGAGAAGAAGAACTCAATTGCCAATGCTTTCCATATCCCTGTGCCAGATACCACAAGAGCACCCAAAGGATATGAAGAGTCTGGCAGAGAATATCACTTCACCAGCCGAGAGGTCTTTGACAACATGGTGTACAAAAGCAGGTGTGACTGTGTTTTGTTTAAACTCCACTTAGAACTGTAAATACTGTTTGGTCATAGTTAACCACAACCTTTAATTGTTTATGATTCTGTGTGTATGGGAACCTCAAAACGTGTGTGGTTCCTTGAGTAGTTTCCTTATTCGGTCACCAGGATGAGAAGAGGAAGTTTGACCGTTCTTATGTTTGCCCTCTCAATGTCCTGCAGGTTCTTGGAATACGGTGAGTATAAAGGAAATCTCTATGGCACCAGCAGAGAAGCTGTAAGGGACGTTTTGAACAGTGGCAAGATCTGTGTCATTGACATTGAACCAAATGTGAGTGGACAGCCATACAGTATTTGAGTAAAAAAAAAAAGTGAATTTTTCTCAAATGAACACATGGATACCGAACTTGACTTTACCGTATTTAGGCCATTCAGGCTGTTAGAACACATGACCTGCGGGCTTATATCATCTATGTGAAGCCACCCCCGCTGGAGCAACTAAGAGAGACGAGGAAGGACTCGTACATAACCACTGACTACTATGTCAACCGCCCCTTCAAAGTGAGTGGATGGATGGACATGATGGTGCATGGCGATCTGTGTATAATATGTTAAAAGGACAAAGCTGAGGGATTGTGATGCAACGTGACCTCCATCCAACAGGATGAAGACTTCCAGGAGATGGAGGAGGCTGCGCGGAAGCTTGAGTCCCACTATGCACAGTTCTTTGATTGTGTGATCATCAACAGTGAGTTGCAGGAGTCCTGCGACCAATTGCTGGACACAATTCGGAAGGCACAGGATGAGCCACAGTGGGTCCCCAGCAACTGGATACGACCCACCACAGATTCGTAGATACAATTGTAAGAGGTTATACAGAAATGTAGCCCCCATTATCAGGTTAATATGTTTTATGTTTAATATGTTCTCTTACTTATAATAGAGATGGCTTTTTCTGTTCAATGTTTACACTTTGGGCTTTGAGGTATTTTGTTATTGTTTTTTTTTTGTTTGTTTTTTTATTCATGTCATATTTTAAAATGGGTCACTTGCATGCAATGCATGCCAAAACACGTTAAAACTGTTGGTCAAAATTTGTTGGTCAAAACCTGTTTACATTGTTAGAATAACTTGTGACACTCTGCATTGCTAATTTGGCGCTTTGAAATGATGAAATCTTTGTGACAATAAAACTGTCAAATTTGACTGTCTTTGTGAGCTTTTATTTTGACGACACCGGATGCCCGTTGTACTTGTACTAGCTACCTCCGGTCCGGTCGCTGTGTCTCAATGTGGCATACAGAATAAACAAAGAAATACTGTATCCAAGGCTTTGAATGTGTTCCCGATGTATCACACATAGGATCTGATCATGAATTGAAAAAAAAAAAAGTTATTCCAGGAAATTTGAACGGAACATGGACAACGGGCTCTCCAAGGTAACGAATGTTTAGTTTGGATTCAGTGCCTGCTACAAAATATTGTTCTCGTGACTAAAATGCGTTCATATCTTCATGTAAGCGAGCCAGGTGGCCACCAAGCTATGGCATTTTATACAGTGCAGTACAACCCGCTCTGGTACATTGTTTTGATTATACGCAAACGTGACGCGTACTTGTACTGTTTACTTTTTGTAGCCATCCCGGCCCAGGGAGCTCCCGCCTGTGCCTCAGGTCAGTATCAATATTATTGCCTTCGAAATCCCTGACTTAATCACTGTTATCGAATGAATGTATGAATGATTTCTAATGTCTGCTGGACTCATTTAATCTGGGCATTCTCTACAGTATTTTCTTACAGTTGTATGTATACCAAACATCATCATCTATTTATTGTGCTTCTTATGTGCGAAATTGTGTACTGTATACTAAGTATCATATGAAATATTTGCATCATAAATGTATATGTGTATATTGTGAACTATTGGTGGCCGATGGGAGGCGTTAAATTAACTGAGTAACTGTGTCTGTGTGTGTGTTTGGTATGTTTGTTTTTGTTTTATATCGTGGATTAATTTTTAGTCATTATTTTAAATCTTGTGCCATTCCCATCAAATTTCTCAAAATCTTCCCACCTAACCATTACCAGCTCCTTTAAGAAGATCTTGGGGAATATAGTATTTTCTACAATCCTATAATTCCACTCCTCACAATATATTACTAAATATAGGAGGTACCTTTATTTTACCACTGCTGTCCACATTTCTTTTACCAATTCAAACAATACCAACTTCAATGTATTCACCTCATTCACAACATCACGACATCTTGGGCCCTGCTGTATGTTTTTATCACATCCCCAAATTGCCATATTTGCACAGTAAAATTCCTCAATTTAGATATATTTTACTGATTTATTAACTTACTTTAAGGCTCACATTCTACATTTCAACAATTCAACTGATCCCACAGCAATTCAGTTGATCGTCAGCTTTTCAGCATTCACAAGCTATTCCCACAGAAATTGCTAATTAACCTGAACACTCCCAAAGATGGAGTAAACTCCATGTGCTTGCTGAGGTTTGTTTTTGTATTATTTGACTGTTAATGATAATTATTTAACCCCTCATCGGGACATTCAATTTAAGTCTACTGTACAGTTCATATATTTTTTGAAACGGACCATACACGTGCAGACAGATGGATGTCAGGCACCTTGACTGTACTTGGACTCGCATTTTTCCAACAGCTAGTTGTCATTTTTCAATTCAATCCATACAGATTAGCTGTTCCTGCCCCAGATCAGACACTGCATTATTATACAGTAGAAAGATCCAAAACACATTTTGACCCGCGGTCACTTCGTTTACTATACATTAAACCCACCTATACTCGGAAAGTAGGAGTGGCTTTGACCTGTGCCCTGAGTAATCCTTACTTCTGGCAGATGCTGGACCACAGATTTAGCTGAGGATTTAACAACAGGACATAATGCACAGCTTCACTCTGCTCTTGCCTGATTCTTGTGTGGAATGGCCAGTAAGACACCGGTGAAGTTTTTTTCTTGTCCTCGTCATCTGCTGTGACAATAATTGCTACAAATACACATAAGTGACCTGTTGTTCTCTTCCTTTCTGCAGCAAGGACAAAGGTCTGTTCCCACTGGGCCAAGGTGAGTCACCCCATTTCTTCAAAATTAAGAAAAAAAGGCATCTTTATATTCCTTCCGTAGTATAAAGTCTTAGTTCTGTCTTTTCTCATACACATGGACATTGAAGTGGAGATTCAGCTGGTGAGAAAGAAACTGACAGAAAATAAATAATTGCCCATTTTAATGAAAGCATGAGTCTAATGTAACTCTGTCGATTTAACAGAAGTGCCCAAGCAGAAGAAGAAGAGGGCGAGAAAAGAGGCAAATGGAGCAACTTATGCAGACGGTGCGCACTGTGCTCACATTGAATGGAGATGATTTCACATCAGCTCATGCACATTGAACTGTTTTGCATCCATTTTAGATCAGGAAATGGAGATGGAAGGCCAAGGCAGCAGAAGGGCTTCTGAGATTGGTGACCATCTTTCATTTGAAGCGATGACAGATGCACCCCCTCAGAGGAAGAGGAAGAAGAAAAAAACTGCAACTCTAGGTGAGCCAGCCAAGGTGTGATCATTCACGGCACGTGCATTAATGACGAAGGCAGCTAGTAGCTGGAAGAACTTGTAAATTGCTCAATACGACCATCGACACGTCATTCATGCATCGTGGTAATATGCTTCAAGTGCGCAGAGATATTTTCCCTCAGCATTGGGGCTCTTTTACCCGATCGGTTATGAGGGGTTTGGCAAGCGGACAGCACGTGTCATGTTGTCAAACACATTGCAATTACTTACCCATTATTTTGGCTCATTTTCAACTAAAGCTGGGAATTAATTTAAATTTAATGGTGATTTTATCTTTTCATGACATTAAAATCATAATTGAAGAAAAACGATTCATGTGGCGAACGGTACAGTGTTTTTCGCAAGCTTCTGATATGAAAGCACGATGTTGCTTGTACTATAAGCGTGTGATGTGGACTTGGTTCTGCTCTCTCTGAGTACACTTGAAGCTATTGACTGACACCCCAATTGGAACTAACTGTAAAATTTAAACACACCACAAAAAGAATTATACACACTGTACATTTAAACACAAGGCATGCTTTCTATTCAAAACATCACCGGTTCCTCTGCTAAAGTCAAACATGCTATTTGGAAAATAGCATCACCTTCCAAGAGTGATGGTCCTTCAAATAATGAATATTTACACACCAGCACTGTAGGAACACATCTAGTAATATAACAAAATTCGAAAGGGCATACTTTGTAACGTGTGAAAAACGAGTTCTGTGAAAAGAGCTCAATCATAATTTTCAATCACAACTTTCTTCTTTTACTATTCTTATCTCATTGTGTGTATTCTCTGTATGCATGGCACCACCAAGAGGCCAACGCGTACATAGCAGGAGCAATTTTTTATTTTTTTCCCCCCCTATTATTGAAGTACATTCTTGTTTTACTTTGCTATGAATTTATTTGGTTATTCTTTCAAGCTATGTTTAAAGTTGAGTGCCAAACTTGAATCGCAAATTACGATGTGAACCCGAGAGAGCCTTTAGAGCGTGTCTCAATGGGCCTATCAATTGGATACATTTATACAACACAAAACCCTATTATTAATATAATTGTGATAAGGGAAAAAAATCATTTGAGACCAAGGGTTAGGACTTAGTCAGTTTTTGCCTTCTACTCCTTTTGAACATGTAAACTGAAAGATTTTTTTTTAATTGCCGCTTTAAAAATATATTATTAAAAAAACATTTATGTTCAAATAAATCTATATATTAACCTCAGCATTACTCCACTGGCCGCCATCAGCAATTCTTGACCATTTAATTGTTTGTGCGTTCATTGTAGTTTAAAGCGAGTGGTGTTTTTTTTTCCTTGTGTGTGTGTGTGTGTGTGTGTGTGTGTGTGTGTGTGTGTGTGTGTGTGTGTGTACGCGTACGCGTGTTTATCCGTTTTGATTGAGCAGATGTGGGAATGTCTTTACGTGACTAATCTCCATAGATGTGATCTATGCATTTACACTGCACTCACATCGGCAGATTATTTATTTTATTTTGACTCATATTTGCAAGAGGCCTGATTCAGATGTATTTTTTCCTTTCCACTTCGATCTTGAAGATGACCAAGCGGACCTGGTGAATGGAGATGCAGTGGATCAGACCACCGATGAAGAACTTGTGAAGAAAAACAAAAGGAAGAAGTAAGAAACGTCTTAACTTTTTTAAAAATTTGGCTAGGTGTTGTATGTGTGACCCACCTTGTTTTCATCATTTCAGGAAGTCGAAAGTTTTGGAATCATACATCCCTGATGAATTGGACATAGAAGAGGATGACGTTATCACAGACATTCCTTCTCACATACCACAGCATTCCCTGTTCTCTGCCCCACAAGGACAGAGTCATCCCGTTGGAAAGGTCTTTGTAGAGCGGAACAGTGAGTGACAGAATGGATTTTAGACTGCTATGCATTTACTGTTTGTCAGAAATGGCAAAGGCACACTCGCATTCTGTACACAAAGAAGGACAGTGGACCCTCGCATAATCGCAGTTCGGAGCATGTAGATTCACCTCGTTGCAATAAAAAAAAATAAATAAATAAAAATAAATCAATAAAATACATTTTTTTGGTAGGGGTGGGGCAACCCGTGTTTTTCGTGAGGCAATTTTTGTTTTTCCACCACTGATGAATGTGCAACTATTACTGTCTAGAGCGCTTCCACGCAGCAGAGCGGTCAGACTGGAGGAAGACGAGTGACCAGAGGGAAAATCTGAATGAATTCCATCCCATGCAAGCTCCCTGGACCACCAGAGATGTTTCTATCAGTGTGCACAAGAACTTCAGGTAAAACTAAATTGCACTGGCTCTTTATACTGTAATTGCCACCAGCGGTTAGCACTTCTGCCGCACAATTCTGAGGTCGATGTTCGACTCTGGGGAAGAGGGGATACTTCGACAGATAGCTTTTTGCTATGTTGATTAATGTATACTGTGTTTTTTTTTTTTTTTTTTTATTTAGACCCAAGGACAACATAAGTAGGCCATACGTCTGTTCCACAAATAGCTCATCAATGATGGGACAATGACAAAGAAGAATTAAAACAGCAGGACAAGAAATATAAATATTTTTTTTTCCTTTTGAAAAGTCGTCAGTTGTTCAGTTCTGAACAGGGTTAAAATACTTTCTAGATTTTTTTTATTTGAGATTTTATTTCATTGTGACATTTGTTTCTTCAGTTTAATTCATAATTCCGTTCATTTTAATTGGATTTAGTAGTTTTTATTTTTTCAAAAGTGTTTTTAGTTTTCATTTTGGTATTATGCCACGCTCAGATGACCTGATTGAAGCCTAATTTGGACCCAACAAACGTCGCAGTCAAACGGTCACTGTCGTGGCCGATTCTTGGAGTTGTTTACGAGCAAAAATGTTTAATGCCTGATTTTCTATCATTATGTCTGTTAAATCTTTTAAGATTTGAAAAATACCTTTGTTTGTACCAAGGCCCTAGTGAAGTTTGGATGTTGCACCCACATTCCAAAATTAAAGACTTCAAATTGTCTTTGCATGTGAAAGGCTAGCTATGTAAATGCCCTGTGATTTGCTGGCAACGAGTCCAGCGCCAGAGTGTACCTCGCATCTCGCTCAAACTCAGCTCCGCTGGGCTGTAGATCACCTGAGACCCCAACTTTTTATGCTTTTTGGCTGCTCAAGCGTGACTCCATCATATGATTGTCTTTGTGTTTTGTCTGATTCAGGATTTTCGCTCTCTACTGTCATGGCTTCCTGGCAGGATTTGCAGTGTGGAACATAGTTGTGGTGTTTGTGTTAGCTGGGCAACACCTCACAGCGTTGTCCAACCTGCTGGAGCAATACCACAGCTTGGCTTACCCAGCGCAGTCTCTGCTTTACATGCTGCTGGCCATCAGCACCGTAGCTGCTTTTGACAGGTACCAATGTTTCAACCCCTTAGGGGTTGAAACATTAAAAATATTTTATATTTTATACTGACAAGAACTACCGGTCATGGTTTGTAAAAAATGTATGCCGTAAAAGAAGCAAAAACATGTTTTCAAAAACCCTAAAAATTACATATTTTAATGGCCCCAAACAATCTGAAAGTCGACTGAAATCCAACAATGCCTGAGGCTGAAGAACACCATCTGTTAAGACATCATACAACATTTTTTAAAATGTAAAGTTTGTCAGCAGAGGCATTTGTAGCCATGTAGTCATACATCCTCCCTTATTTTATGTCTCCCAAGTACCTTGAGACAACTTGTGTTGTGATTTGACAATATAGAAATACACTTGAATTGAATTCATGCTCATTGTCCTGCAAGTGTGTATATTACATCATTCTCATACGATTACAGTTCATGTTTTCCCTCCTTTGTAATCTATATCACCTTGAATACTGGCGGAACCTTTTGTCTTCCCCCCAGAAAACATAATCCTGCATGTTATCAATAATTTATTTCTTGAAGATAGAATTGCAGAGTTGCCCAGCATCATGATGAAACGATTTATGCAACAAAATTCATTTTTGTCAAAACAAAATGTGGGCCATTATATTCGGAGGGTAACAGTATACACTATAAACTCTTGATTGAAGTAAAAATGACTTTGTCGGTCTAGAGTAAACCTGGCAAAGAGCTCCATGGCGCTGCAGGAGCTGGCCACACTGGACCCAGTGGCTCTCGCCTCATTCTGTCAGTATTTACACCTCAGTTGGTCTTTTATTGTTGTTGTTTTGTTTTTTTAACAACTTCTCTGCCTCCTGGTTCCATTCAACACTGCAGTGTATTTCTCGGCATTGGTGCTCTCCCTCAGCCAGCAGATGACGAGTGATCGCATCCACCTCTACCCAGACACCAATGCAACATTATGGTAAGCTACCTAAGGTTGCAAATATTTTTCAAAGTTGAACTCTTTTCACTGGTATTATCAGCAATTAACGTGACCACACCGGAAATTTACAAAACTGAAAGTTGGCTCTTACAATCATGATCTCGTTCCTCTCAAGGCGACCAGAGCCCGAGCATCAACTTCTCCACTCTTGGGTGACAGTCAACCTTGTGGTGGCGCTGTTGGTGGGCCTGGCCTGGTTCTTCATCTCCATCCGACCTGAGACGGACTACACTGAAAGTACGACATGAAACGATCCAGTGATGTTATGGTATACATTTGTCTCATTGTGTTTCTCTTCCACAGACTATCTGATTGCCATGCAAATTGAGCCCACCAAGATAGACAACAAATCTGAAATGAGCGCCTGACTATCACAGACTGATACTGTACAAATAAATCTTTTTTTGTGTGTGTTCTTGCTTTGTAACTGTGTATCTTTTGAATACACTGCACAGTTTTCTCCATCAAATGTTTTTGAATTCAATGGGTAGGATTAAATGTTTTTACCTCATCCTGCACCTTTTGAATATGTAAACTGTGAGTAATATTTAATAGTTTTATATACGGTAGTCTACACACCACTGTTCAAATTTCAGCTTTTGTAATTGAAGAAATGAGGTCAAGATGAATTCCTTCAAAACGTTTCCCATGATTAATGTGTGCACACCTAATAAGATGTGGCTGTGTTCAGAATTTACATATCAAAATATATAAATATAATTAATGTGCGGTTATTTCCACCGATACACACAACCATTTAAATGAAGAGCTTCCTCGATATTAGCGTGATCTCATAGTTCACGGGTATCAGTCAAAACAAGGGCACCTTTTCATTGAATTAAATATACCATGAAAGACAGTGAATACAGTACACCATCAAGTGGAGAAAATACGGCACAACAGTGACACTACCGAGAACTGAATTTCCCTCTGAAGCCGATTAAAAGATGAGACGGAGGCTGCCAAAAGGCTGGGAGCAACACTGAAGGAGCTCCAGAAATTTCTGCCAAGTACTGACTGTTCAATGCATGTGACAACAATCTCCATCTTCATATGTGTGACCCACCATATGTGGTTTGAGTCGCTAAATTGAGATCTCGCAAACGCCTCTGGTAAAACGAGGAAACCAAGGTCAAAATGTGTGGCCTTAAAATAATTTTAAAAAGTGTGTTTGGAACAAATGCAATCGTGCCCATCACCTAAAGAACACCATACATACGGTGACACATGGTGGTTTCAGCATCATGCTTTGGGGAGATTTTTTTTCACCTTGAACTGGTCTCACCCGTTCCCAGACCTATCGACGGAGGCCTCAGATGAGGATTCGGTTATCGATCTTCCCGTTGGGGTCGGGGCAGCCGTTCCTGCGATGGTTCGGTTTGGTCATCGATGCGCTCTGAGATGGATTAGATAATCCTGTTTTTTATAATCGAACACGGAGAGACTCCGACACTTCGTGTTGACGTGGAGTATGGTTTCATTTCAAGTCGCTATTACTGACTGAATAAGTGCTTATAGTAGGAAACAGTCATGCTGGATTTCGCTATATTTGCGGTGACCTTTATTGTTTTTTTGGTTGGTGCAGTTGTGTATTTGTACCCGGTAAGTAGCCGAAAGTTTGCTAAGTGGCTTTGATGACGTGCTTGCGCAGTAAGTACGAATATAACGTTCGCCCACTGTATGCAGACACATACCGCTAACTTAAAACTCCCAGTCAAACATTTCAACATTCCCCTAAACTTAAATTTTGGTAATCACCTCACATGTTAATCCGATTCAGTTTGTCTCTCTTGTGCTGCTCACACGTTTTGAAAACGTGCGCATATGAGGACCAGCGAGTAGGCGTATTGGTATTCATTAAAAACAAGGACGGGATTTTATTCTCTGAAATAATAATGTCAGACTCCTGAAGAAATGTGAGAGTTCAAAATAACTTGCGGGAATATCTGGAGCTGATAATATTGTCGCGGCCGTGTCATAACCAATTGACCTGTTGAGTCGGGTGTGTCTTAACGTCACGGCAGAGGCTCCGTCGAACCCCTGAGACCGATTCACCGAACCCCTGGGATTCGATCGAATCCTGTGTTTGGGCTTCTCACTGGTTCAAAGTTTAAATGTGAAACAAGTTGATAAAAATGGGCAGAATCATGCAATGATAAAAAACAAAAACGTTTTTTTTTTTTTAAAAACATGCAATAAAATTCTTACACGTATCCCCTAACATGAATACAAAAGATAAATAATAACAACAATAGTAATAGATTTTTTTAAAAAATGAATAAAACAGACTAAAAGGGGACAAATGGTTGTGAACCTGAGTTCATGCATTAAGTGCAGTGTGTTTGTGTACATGTTACGGAAGTCAGTATGTTGACAGTATTTTAAGAATTGATGTAATGCTTTTGATAATCCGGTCTCATACCTTGCGGTTTTCAGTCATCCAGAAGATCGTCTGACATCCCAGGTCTGAATCCAACTGATGAGAAGTAAGCAACTTGCATGTCATTGTCATTATTGTGCTACTTTCATGCACGATGTCATTGAAATTCAAGTTTTCAAATCTCTGTGTACCGTTGAAAGACATAAGTGTGCGCCTTTGGGTGTCGTGTCATTAGGGATGGCAACTTGCCAGACATTGTGAACAAAGGCGGTCTGCATGAATTCTTGGTGGCTTTACATGAGGAGTTCGGCTCCGTGGCATCGTTCTGGTTTGGTCAGCGGCTCGTGGTAAGCCTGGGCTCCGTCAACCAATTACGGCAACACATCAACCCAAACCGCACAAGTAGGTGCAAGAAGTGCAAAAACAGAACAGCGTTTAACACAGTCTTTTGTCCTTCATTTTGGGATTTCCTCTGCTTTCCACAGCTGACTCGTTTGAAACGATGCTGAAATCGTTACTTGGCTACCAATCAGGGACGGGTGAAGGGGTCAATGAGGCCATCATTAGAAAAAAGGTGTATGACAACGCCATCAACGAAACTCTCAAGAAGAACTTCTCCTTGGTTCTCAAGGTGTGGCTTTCAAGACAGGCTAAAATGTCTCACTCGCCGCTATGGTTTTTCACCCAAAAATTTGGTCAATTTCTTCGTCTTGTGTTTGCCAGTTAGTTGAGGAACTGGTTGGAAAGTGGGTGTCATTCCCAGAGGCTCAGCACATACCACTCTGTTCCCACCTGTTGGGTCTCTCCATGAAGACCGTCACTCAGCTGGCCCTTGGCGAGCACTTCAGTGAAGATGCCAAAGTTATATCTTTCCACAAGAATCATGACGTGGTGAGGAATGTAGCTGATATCACCTCATTGTCCACAGGAAAAGCAAACAATGGAGTGATTTTTTTTCGGGAAAGCCGAAATCAAGTTACTTGTTTTTATCCTGGCAGATCTGGTCCGAAATTGGGAAAGGCTACTTGGACGGTACCCAGGAGAAGAGCAGCAGCAGGAAGACACATTATGCGAGAGGTGAACATCATTCAACTTCTACTGTTGCTTTACGTACGGCTCAGTGTTCAGTTTCTTTATCAGCTCCCTACAAAACTATTATTCTTGTTCTTTAGTAATCATCAGTAGAACATGGGTTGGTTTCACCAAAAACACAGGTTTCAGACCAGAAATGTGGACAAAACAAACTTTTTGCACAAAGAAGCATGTCAAGCAGAACAGTGAGTTTGACGCTAACTTTCAATGCATTGGTATTTCTCTCCCTCATAATTTACGTGACCTGTCCAAAGTCACATTCTAATCTTTATGTTAAAAGCTGTGCTGATCAAAAGTCCAAGGTGGGTTCTGTTCATTATAACGGTGTTTTACAAACCTTAATTTCACAGGTAAAATGGAAGAGACCCTCTTCCATGCCTACCTGTTGAAAAATGTCCTTAACGAAAATACTTGTCAGTGGATTCCAGTTGACAAATATAAACATCTGCGCAGTGAATGAGACACAAACAACAAGATTTCATTACAGTGGTACCTTGTCTTGCGAGTGCCCTAATATACCATTTTTTTAAGTAACGAGCCTTTGCTTGGTCAATTTTCTTTGCTTTACGTTGCAGGCCAAAATTTACTGTACGAGCAAGCTTTAGATATTGTCGATCAAGTGATTTTTTTTTTAAGTGAATTTTCAAGGTACTGTAATACCTCGTGTTCGGGCCAGGAGAACTATCTATCTTGCATCGAGTGGTCTGCTTATCACAAAAAAATCGCCCACCTCTGAATATATGCTTGAATATGATACCTTTCCATTAATTTGCCATCAATTCGCAATTAATTCCCACAGAAACTTTCCAATATGGGATATTTCAACAATTCCTCAGTTGAAATTCCCATGGAAATTGAATGGAAACTTTGAGGAAATGTTCCACCCCTTTAAAGCCCCATTTTTAATTTACGTGAAAACTGTGAGTTAAATGTTTTTTTTCTGAGACTCAGGCGTCTCAAGTTGACGCTGGATGGATGGATGGATGGACTGACTGACTGGCATATTCGATGTGTATAAATAAATGTATTTTTAGCTCTGTCAGAGATGGAGTCTGTGTTGCTGTCTGTGGCCAAGGAGAGAAAAGCAAATCCGAAGCAGTTGGTGTTTGTGGACATGCTGCTAAAGTCGTCTCTCAAAGAGCGACAGGTGAGTACTACTGATCCAGTATCTTTTTTTTTTTTTTTTTTTTTTTTTTTTGAAATTCGCAGCAATGCAATATAATGCAACGAACACCACATTTAAACGCGCAAAATTTACCGTATTACCAAGTACTGTACCTACTGTACTCTTGACATCCACCCAATTAGCCAGTGATACTTGCAGTACCTCACGCAACCGTGGCGGCGCATGTGAACTCATGCCGCCCTGCTAAAGATGTGAAAATGGCGGAGCTGCAAATGCTTTTGGAAGAGGAGATTCCAGCAGGTCGCAGCGCTCTGTTGGATAGTTTCACTAATTTGGAAAGAGTCGCCGAATATTGTGAGAGCAACTATGTCCAGGTAAGCATTTTGCCGTATGAGAACACGTTTTCTTGATGCCTATTCACGGGAACCATAAACGCTGTTCGGGTAGCTGTTGCTAGTGCTTTCGACGAGATGCGGCGTTAGCCAATTGGGATAAAAAGCAAAAAAACCCAAAACAAACAAACGTAAAAAAAAAAAAAAAAAACACAGGATTAGTGTCGAGTATTTGCACGGGCTTTGTTGTTTGTTTCAGATCATGGAGGACTGTATGGTGTTCACTTTGGCTGGATGCGTCATCACTGCCAACTGTGCGTGCTGCATTTCACTGCATGTCATGCGAATAAATAGTCAAGTTTCATCCTCCAAAATAATGGCAAAACTCTTTGGCAGTGTGTATCTGGGTTCTTCACTTCCTGTCCACCTCCAAAGAAGTCCAGGATAAGTTGTATGAAGAGATGGAAGATGTTTTGGGTTCAGATCCCATTTCCTTAAACAAGATCCCCCAGCTTAAGTAAGTGTTTCATTCTGATAAATCAACATTTCATTTGTTCGCTGTTAATTTGTGTCCTAAATGG